GTTCACCGTCACGCTGCCGCCCTCGGTGCCGGGGGGAGACTCGGGTAAAGTACGCGCAGGCCGTCCCCCGTCCCGCCCCGCCCGTCCACACGCTTCCCGCCGGGCCGGGCGGCTCGCGCCTCCTTCCCCGCCTGCGCCCGGTGCGCGGGCTGTGTGTCCGTCCTGTGACCGGGCTCCTCAGCCCTCAGGCGTCCGGGCGGGCTCCCGGCCGCTCCACTCCCCGGCTCCTTCTCCGGGCCTGTGTTTGCTCCCCGGGCCCGCGTGGTGCGCCGAGGCTCCCCCTGAGCCCTCACTGCGTGTCGCCGGGAGGGTCGCGGGGGCGGCGAGCAGGCCTCGCGGAGAGTGTCCTAGGGCCGGGCAGCCGTGCGCGACTACCGGCGGACGGCCGCGCGTTGAGCGGTGAGAGCTGGATGGAGAGGGAGAGGGAAACGGAGCGAGGGCGGGCCGGCACGGCGCTTCCCCACGGCTCCCGAGGAGAGGCCTCTGAGGAGCGGGTATTTCAGTTGAAACCTGAATGTGGAACAGGAACCAGCCCTGCAGAACATTTAGGCCAGAACACTTAAAAGAGTGGAAGGCAGCTGCAGCTTCCAGCAGGCTGCTTCTCTGAAGAAGAAAAGCATGGCTCGTGGGCCACTTAAGTCACAGGAATAATTGTTATACATTTAGGGTGAGAAACAAGATCCAGGTTTTGTTCTTGGTTTTGATTGGCTGCCAAATTAAGTGACCCTCCAATAATGCCTAATAATGGCCAGTAATATTGTCAGAATAGTAACTTCGGGTGGTGAATCTATAGATTGAAAACACTGAGTGCACTAGTTATCTTTTGCTGCAGGACAAGATACCCCGAAACTGAGGGACTTAAAACAGCAAACGTTTACCGTCTCACGTGTTCGGTGGCTCAGGAGTCTGAGTGCGGTTTAGCTGGGTGCGCTTACCAGGGTCAAGTTTGCTGTCAGGGCGTGGGCTGGGGCTGCAGTCCTCTCAGCTCCCTGGAGGAGGATTCGCTTCTAAGCTCAATCCAGTTCTCTGCCAAGTGGGTCCCTCGCTAAGCTGGCTTCTGTCGAGAGGAAGAGATGGCACCTCTGTCTGGAGCCTCTGTCATTTCGTAAGCTAATCTTGGAAGTGATATACCGCTGCCCTGTTTTATTCTTGACAGTTAGTCAATAAATCCAGCCGTCGCTCAAGGGGGAGAGGATCACACAGTGAGAATACCAGGAGTTGGGGATCACTGGGGGCATCTTCAAGGCTGCCAACACTTTGAGGGTCCCTGATGTTCCTTTACAAGTCATTACTATTATTCTTTCTTTCAGGTCCTACTGAACAAATGGGAGCAACGTTGCATTAGTATAGTGGGGGATGGAGTTACCGTATTTCCAAGGTTTATGTTAAATAATAGAAATAACTTTACAGTTGTGAGAGTTTTGACATTGGAGAGCATTTCTCAGAGGCTGAGTAGTACTGTACCTTCCCCCCCAAAAAGAAAGCACTGACAGTTACTTACCATGGGTGTTTGAGCCTGAGGTATGGGGATGGGATGAATAATAGTAACTAACACTTATTGAGCACTTACTGTGTGCCAAGTACTGTTCCAAGTACTTTATGTGGATTGTCCTTTTAATCCTCCCAGCTCCTACCCTATGATGTAGGTATTATCAATATCTTCCTTTTATAAATAATAAAAGTAAGGCTCAGCCGTGTCCAGAATCACACAGTTGGAAAGTAGGAGCAGTCAGGAAAAGAACCCAAGTAGATTGACTTTAGAACATGCTCTCTTCACCTTTGCTGTAAATTCTTTGTTAAATCTGTCATCACATATATAGTGATAGTTAAAGTCTATTTAAAATCTATGATTATTGTCTTGTCTTTATTAATACTGTCTTTTATTTTTCCATAAAGAATAAAGTTATCTCTTCACTTTGAGTTGCCAAACTTTTTAGGTGTTCTGATTTGTTTAGTTTGATGCTGAATATTGGTTGCTTCTAGTATTTTTATGTTCATTTTTGAGAATGATAAATAAACTTTTCCAAGTATTGCCAGTAAAATTTGTATAATCATATCTTTGATAATTTTGTTTATATGTTGAATGTACTGTTCTTGTGTTTATGAAATATATTTTTTATCAATAAACAGAACACATCTGAAAACCAGTATAAAGCATGTATTCCTGAGAAGTCTAAAATTATACTCCATAAATCATCACATTGTATGGCCTTGCCAAAATTATTTTTTGCACCACTTGGTACACATAGTTGATTTATGGGCAGGAGTGCTCATGGTCCCTTGGAGGAGAAGGTGGGAATCTAGCCTTTACTTCTATTTGTTATTCTTGGGAAAAATAAATTAGCTTATATATGTGTTTATATATTTTAAGAATACTGTCTTTAAAAGACTTGATATATGACAATGTAATTGTATAATTACTATAAAATATAATAGAGAGGGAGATGGTTTTTATATAGCTTAAGCATCTGCTAACAACTCTGAGCTTGCCACCCATTTGTGTCCCAGACAAAAAAACTGGTTCTCAAACCTAAATGTACTTCAGAATTGCCTGGGAAGCTTGGGCTCCAATGTCAGAGGTCTTAGTGTAGGTAGGTGTGGGATCTCGTCAAGGAATCTTTAATTTTAAAAAGCATCCAGGTAATTTTGATGCAGGTAACAGTAGGACTTAAATTTTAGGAAACCATAGTGTAAAGAGTTGAGTGAAAGCAAGGACCAAGCTGGCTTTTTTTTTTTTTTTAACTCTTCACTTTCTGTTTTCTCTTTGTCAATTTTAAGAGTTTCTCTTTAGCTTTTTATCAAGGTTACATTTATAGACTTTGAAAAGTAGCCATCCTTTTTCTTTTCCAGGTTCTTTTTTATCTCCTGAGGAAGATTTGCCTTGAGCTAACATCTGTTGCCAATCTTCGTCTTTTTGTATGTGAGCCGCCACCACACCATGGCCGCTGACAGACAGGTGGTGTAGGTCCGCGTCTGGGAAGTGAACTTGGGCCTCCAAAGTGGAGCATGCCGAACTTAACCACGAGGCTGGTCCAGTAGTATCTTTTCTGTTTAGATTTTAGTTTAACATTTGAAAAGAGTTGGTTATGGAAATTTGTCACATTCCAGAATTTTCTTAATACCAACAGAACTCCAGCAAAGAATAGCAGCATATTGACTTTTTAATGGTAAAAAGAAGTAAAGAGAAAACAGGCTATTTTTCTTAATGTTAAATGTAACTAAATACATTTTAAATGCAGGAGAATGAATAGTGACCTTAAAAATTTGAGCTTAACTTTGCTTCATTGAACCTATAGAAATATAAGACCAAAAAACTGATTAAAATAGTTTGGGACTGAAGACACAAGAGCTAACTCATTCTAGAGTAAAACTATAGAATATTTTTGACAGTAGTTATAAAGGGAACAGTTATTTTAAACATTTTTTTCTTTAAAGTGTATAAGAGGGGCTGGCCTGGTGGCATAGTGGTTAAGTTTACATGCTCTGCTCCAGCAGCCTGGGGTTCATGGGTTCAGATCCCAGGTGCAGACCTACACACTGCTCATCAAGCCATGCTGTGGCAGGCATCCCACATACAAAATAGAGGAAGATGGGCACAGATGTTAACTCAGGGCCGATCTTCCTCACACACAAAAAATTACACTAACAAATATGTAAGATACAAAAAGTGCCTTTGGTTTCTAAGGTGATCTTAAGTATCTTCAGAAAACTTAAAAGATGTTCTTCAGTAATAGACTTAGGTGAGCAATACCTGTCTTTGGGTGCCTTTATGGGGCTTCCATGATGCAAGCGGTCATTCACCTAAGATGTGGTGTCTGAGTAGCAAGGATGACAATGTGATAGGTCTTTTTGTAAACCCCTATGTGCAAGGCTTGGATTAGATTCTTTGTGGCCAGAGGAGGGAGAGGGGGTGATGTCTTGACAGGATCCTGAAATGCATAGGATAATATTTTCAACTTAGTGGAAAAGAGAAATGAAAACAACTAATCAGAATATAAGGCAATCTAAATAAATGCAAAATAGAGCAGTTTCAAGCAGGTTCTATGGAGGAGGAAGAAAAGATTAATTCTGGTGGGGGAGGCCCGGGAGAGGTATGTGTAAGGAAAGGTGTCACTGAGAAGGTGACAATTGAACTAGGCCTTGAAGGGTTTAGGAGAGAATGCTGGGTGAGAAAATGAGTGATAAGAGGTGTAATAGACACCAGTCTAGAGGAACAGTGGGTAACAGATTTGACTGAGCTGAGCCTAGGTTTCATGGATATGAGACTTGTGAAGGGACTTGAAGCCATAGAAGGCTTGCACGTCATTGTGAGGATTCTGAACTTCATTCAGTAGGCAGAGAGCAGCCATTGAGAAATTTTAGACTAGGGATATGATCCAACCTTTTTGGGGAGGCTGGGGGTGGCAGTAATAAGTGATTTCAGTATGAAGAGGAGTTGAAGTAGATTGGTCAAAGCTATTACTGTAGTCCTGGCCAGAGAGGGTAAAGGTCTAAATGTGGTTGGAACATTAGAAACTAAAAGAAGAGTATTTATATCTATTGAAGGATAGAAAATGGACATTAATACATTTCCTAATAAATAATAGTAACTTTCATAAATCATCAATTAGTATTAATTTCTTACATTGTACTCTATTACAGTTTACAGGAATGTGTCAGAAATGGTCCCTATGCTCTAAATGCTTAAAATATTAACAAATAGGCATGAGTTACTGCATCATAATTTTAGAAATAATCACTAGTGGTGAGGAATTATAAAGAACAATGTAAATACTATAATGATTAATGGTTTAAAAAAATGTATTATGGTAGTCAGAGCTTACCAAAATAACCTGGAGCTAATAAGCATTTGGCCATTGTTTAAAGCTGTCTAACCTAATTAGTGTAGAGAAGGTATCCAAACGCCAGTTTAGGGCTGAATGGCACATTTTATGGAGTCTCCAAAACTCAGATGTCTGCACATTTTACATATGATAAGGTTGCATCTTTATAGACAGGTTTGGATTAAATTCTTGAGGGATAAGGAGCATATTACACTAATGCTCTGTAAAAGTTTTTATATATTTGCAAGTGTATACAACTTTCAGGAGGGAAAATAAGCATTTTTTTAAAAACTAGAATTGACCTATATTTCCACTGACCAGTTATTAAAAACTATCAAAGATAGTTTATTCAATAAGGGAGAAAATATTCTTAGACTATTTCATGCTGTTAAATCTCTACAGATTTACAGTTTTATCCAGTCAAATTAATGCAAAACCCCAATGCAAGCATTTGGATTTTGAAAACTTTGGAGGAGTGTCATTTTCTAATAGTAATTATTGGTTTTACATTATTTTTTCACAGGGGAACTGATCACAGCTGCACATGAGCTTGGAGTAAGTATTAGTTTTATTGTTTAATCAATGCTCTCATTAACAGTTTTAGGAATTAAGAAAGTTTAATTAAGCATGGAGTAAAGTAGATTAATTTATTTTCTAACCTCAGTTTTTAGTAACTTATAAGTACAGTACATGACAATTTACTTTAAGTTTTAAATCCAATTAAAGTAAATTATAAAGCAAAGCCTTTACCATATATACAGTAGCTGGCTTATTATCACCCCAAATTTTGTATAAGCTATGGAGAATAAAATAAATCGGGTTAACAGTTTTAATAAGTTTATTATTTAATAAACTTTATTATGGTGCATGATCCCTTTAGGCAAGACCTTAGGACTGTCAGCATGGTGGTAATCCGATAGCAGTGTGGTCTTTCAACTTTCTAACCAATACGATATTTCAGAACCTGCTTTTTTTCAATAGCCTTTTAAATGACCCTAATGTACTGTGAACCCAGAGAACAAACTGCTTAAGAACTGACAATGAAATGTGTCACCCTTTCTCTAGGTGACACACCATGTGAGAGACGCTGCCAAATCCACTAAAGAAAATATTTACTTGTATTGGCACAAGAGGATTACAATAGAAAACCACTATTCAAACATTTAGTCATTGGCTCTTAATCTTTATACTTGCCTGAGGAAAGGGCTACTTTTCAATTAAAGCCAGTGTGACTTCCTTTACGAGATGAAAACCTTCTCACTGTTGCTAATTTTTTGTAGGTTGCCCATCCTCCTGGCTATCCTTTGTTCACTCTGGTGGCTCAACTGGCAATTACACTATTTCCTTTTGGTTCAGTTGCCTACCGAGTCAATCTTCTCTGTGGCTTATTTGGAGCAGTAGCTGCATCATTACTTTTTTTCACCGTTTTCAGGTAAAGTAGTTGATTAGTTAAAATTAATTTTGACAAATTGGAGACGTAGCTTTCTGATGGCCCAAGTATATACATTAAAAAAAAAACCTTTTGTTGCTTGGTTTTCATAATCACTCATGTGAATTCACTTTCTTAATTTACAGTAAGTTCATATGCATTTGACCCCCTCAAATGGTGACATAGTTGGTTCTGCTTCATACAATGGAGTGAAGGTGTCACCAGTTCATTATCACAATTCTCTGGTTAGGCAGAACTAATAAGGTTTGTCATTTTATGGAGATGCAGATGGGCCAGTTTAATTCAACAACATGAAGTTCATCTTTTGATAAATGGTAAATATCATTTAATTACTCACAGTATTGCTGGTGGGCAGTTGCCCATTAGATCCAAGCTAATATCAAATTATATTGTGTTCTAAATATGCACATGTGTACTTTTTGAAGTGAAGCTGTTAACTAAGGAAATCAGTTTGGGATGTGGTTTTAGCCGGGTTTCACTTTGTTCCATTATAGCTATAGGGAGGACTGGCAAACTGGACCCCACTTACTTCGTGGTGGAAGGCTTTCTTAGTTTGGAAGGCTACCCTGCTTTTAAAAAACGGGTCATTAGTTTTTTAAACTCATTTGTCTCTGCTGTTTCTGTCTCCTCCATTCTTAACTCAGTCTAACCTATGCCTAAGAGGATTATAGTGAAAAATACAAATTATACTTCCTGCAAAGGGAAAACCAAATTAAAACACTTCTTTCAAAAACTGTTGCAGGTTTTATTATAAAAACAAATAATTTTTGTATGTGAATATGTATAATTTGAATAGCCAATTTCAGATGTCTTTTTTGGAGACTAATGTTTTTATTTGTGTTAGTCACAATATTGCCCTTTGGCTAAATTCTTCCTAAATTCTCTTTTAATTATTTATGGAAACGTAAAAGTTAACATAATTATGACTCTAACGCTTACTTTTAAATCTATTTGTGGAAAGCTTCCAGATTCAAATGTTATAATTGTTGATCATTTACTAAATTTTTACCTACATCATTTAATTTGTTTCTATTTCAGTCTTATAGGTTTTCAGTAATAGCCAAATCTTTAAGTATGAAATTTTTAAAATAACATCTCTGCTTGGATTGATTAGTTATGAATACCTTCTTTTTCTAATTGATTAGAATAATCTTTGTTAGAATTGTTTCCTCTGAATCTTTTATAATGAGGAATGTCATTATTGTCTTTGAGAGACAAACTAATCTTTCTTATTTTTAAATATCTAAGTTGAAATTTAGAACTTACCTGTTCTGTATTGAATGTATGAGTTATTAATTTTTACAAGACATTAAAGACAAAGACAGTTAAAGAAAATTAATACTTGTAGGTATTTTGATGGTTTATCTGTATTTTAAAAGATCATTTCTATAGTATATACATATATTTAAATGCTGTGTGGATATAAATAGCTCTTATGCAAATAAAGCAATCAGTTTTCTAAAACTGTCCCATGTTTTTCAATATATTAATTGTTGATGCCATTCCACATGAAAACCACTGTAAAACTTGTACATAAAAATCTTTATCTCTACAGAATCCAAATAGCTTTGGACAATAATTTTCCTTTGAGTTTTCCACATTTTAATATAGCTTTTATTGTTATGTTTGATTCTAATAGGTTTTAGATTAGCACACTAGCCTGTGACCCTTTTCTTTTAATATATAGTCTTAATGATAAATTTGTGTTCTTGCTGACATATGTTTTAAATCAAAAACTCTTCATATGACTAAACTGGATATTTGAGTGGTTTTAGTAATATAGTACTTTGGAAAAGTTGCTTTCTTTCAGAAAAGGGATCTAACAATATTATCTCTTACAAACATTTTAATATGAAAATACTTCATTATTTTGAATACAAATAATTGACAAGGTACACGTCCTTTGGGAGCAACCTAGTTCAAGTGGCAAATCTGTTTTGTCAAACAATAGACACCCTTCAGGAAAGAGCAAGCCATCTCTATGGTAATAGGACTAACAGTAGCCTATTGATTGAGTGGAAGAAGACATTATACAATGTCAGCTGGCTTGTTACAATTTCATTTGTTGTATGACCTGAACTTAACCTTTAAAACCTTTCTTCTGTGAATATAAACCCAACAGCAGGACAGTTTTTGTACGGCCGTTGCAGTAACGGGTTTTTTCCAGCCCCAGCATACAGTAAATGTATTCCTTTACAGGTTGACTCCTTTATCAGAATTTGTTTAGGAGACATTTCGCTTACTTGATTCATTTACAGACAAAATCGTCATTCCATTTTGTTGTTGAATATTGAAGGCTTTTGATCCAGGAAACAGTTTTATTCTTTCTTTCCTCCATCACTTAAGAGAACATTACTGTACATGTAGGATTAGTGCTGAGTGGTGTGCAGTAAATTAATTCTTTTAACAGGTTTAGTTTTTTTTTTCAGGTAATTGTTCACATAGCATTCACTATATTTAGCTCTTGGGGTGGACATAAAGACCTTCTATACCTTTTAAACAAAGATTGTGTTTCCAAAGCAAATTTCTGTTTAAATGTGTTGATGTAAAAAGCTCTATTTTTTTCGGTAAACATGACTTAGACTGAAAGAACAATTTATTCGTTGTTGCCAATTACTATGTAATTTTTGCTTTTCTTGGATCTTTCTCTTGCTTTTAAAAGCCGTAAGATGTCATTAACACTGCATTTTTTTGTCAGTCTTTCCTAATGGTTGGCAATAACTCTTTTATATTTGCTTTGCCCTAATGTAGAAAGCATATGAGTAAAACAGCACATTGAAAGCTGTATGTGTCACTGTAGTTTATTGAATTAAAAATAGTAAGATTGTAGTAGTTGTTTCTGTGTGTATTTATTTATGTATTGTCCCTTTCAGGGGTATTTTTAAGCATGCATTATATTAAGGGAGTATAATCTAATATATTTCATTTATATGAAATAGTATTCATTTTATTAACGTGTACATGTATGCATTTAAGACTATGTAATACAGTTAGTGATTTATAGGAACTGGGAATTTCTCTTTTAAGGCCATTGAAGTAAATGATTTTTAAGTTTGACAGTATGATATTTAAAGTGTCGTATTTGAAATTCACAAATCCTGTTAATACAAAATAAAAAAGTTGTAGATGATATAAATCACTAATATGAACACCATTTAGCATTGCCTAGTACTTGAATTTGAAACTTATTTTCTAAGAAACGTCAAACCAAGTCCCACAGACTGAATAAGGAAGGACTGAAATCACTATCGTGAAGCGCCACCATGCTTGCGTTTCCTATGTTCTGCTGTCACTAAAAGAGAATAGGGCATGTTGATAGCATTGTATAAAATTTCTTTACCTGAGGGAAGATTTAAGTTACTGAGGATCTCAGATGAAGGCATATCTCGTATCGTTTATTTTGGTAGTTACAGGGCAGGTGATATATTCTCAACAGGCTTGAGAGTCAGCAAATCCTTTTCAAACTATTATGGGCCAAATGGAACTACAGACAGATTCATCTAATAGTATTTGTTGAGCACTCATATGAATTGAAAGTAAAATTGTTTTAGTTTGTTTTTTTTTTTAAGATTTTATTTATTTATTTATTTTTCCCCCAAAGCCCCAGTAGATAGTTGTATGTCATAGCTGCACATCCTTCTAGTTGCTGTATGTGGGACACGGCCTCAGCATGGCCGGAGAAGCAGTGTGTCGGTGCGCCCCCGGGATCCGAACCCAGGCTGCCAGCAGCGGAGCGCGCACACTTAACCACTAAGCCACGGGGCCGGCCCTGTTTTAGTTTTTATAATCAAAATTCTGTGCTTCTTTTAAAGAAAGTAAGACAAAGTCAGTTTTTCAAATATTTTTTCTAAAAGGCACTGTTTCAGGAAACCTCCATAAAAAAACTCTAATACCATTAACATTGTACACTAAGAAATCAGATCTCTTAATGTCAAGCAGGTTACGTAGAATATATGAATATTAAGAATAATTAAAGGTATATTGAAACTATGCTTGCTTACTACGAAGAACTTACAATCAATTACAGTAATATTTAAATATCTTCTGGCAGATTGTTTTGTGCCAGTATTCTATTTATGGGGTATTTTATTTTTTATAAGTTATATATTTGTAAACATTATGCTGCTGCTAAAAATTAATTTGATCGCACTTTTGGAAAAGGAACACTTGATTCTGAGCACTGTGTCTGCTATTCTTATAGCTTCAGCTAAGATTCCATTCAATAAAGAATAGAAAATTAAAATACCTTAGAGAATGTTGAATCTCCTGCTTAAGGGACGTTTGGATTTTCCAGCTCAAAGAGTATTTTAGATTATTGCCATAGAGAACAATGTGAAGCTCTTCCTAATTTCAGAGCTAACTGTGCATAAGTAACAAATAGTCACCAAGTTTTTGTAGTTGAAGAAGAATGGAAAGTACTGGGGCATTAATTTCCATTCAGGAGAATATCTGTCTTGATCCCTGGTTAATTGATCATATATTTCTCTCATACTTGTATTAAAATTGCATTGACTGGGACTGGTTGAGCATATTAAGAGCTTGGTTCATTTGCATTTTCTTATAAGTAGAGGAACATATTAGGCTCAAATAGCAGCACTTCATTTTGAAGGGGAAAAAGCAGGGCAAAAACTCTTAAGACTGTAGAGTCTTTTCTGACAGCTAGTCAGAGTTAGAATTAGTTCAAGGAAATGTTAATAATGCACTGCCTGGCCTAATCCCTTTGATATCACCAGGTATCCTCCTGTTCATGGGTTAATTGCTTTAAAAGCGGAGGCAATATTCTGAGCGGTGGGCCGCTTCACCTTTTCACAGCTGTTACCATTGAGTGACAACTAAATCCCATGTGTAAGATGAGGAAGAGCTCAATCTCCAATTGGGAGAAAATTTATGTAAACCACAATCCCTTCAGAATGTGCGGAAGTCATAGACTTTCTTGATTTACTCTGCTTTTCCCAGAAAGCTCTATTGTTCACTTTCCTAAG